AACGTAAAAAATTTAAAAAATATATTTTACTTGTTATTTTTAAAATTTTTAGTGTCCTTATTTTTTATTAAAAAGTGAATGGGAGGAATTTACTAATAAATAAGTCAATAGAAAATTTTATTTCTTTTTTATACTTTCAAAGTATATACTTATACAAGTTCATAGACTAATTAAAAAAGATTATTTTATCTCAAACTTTGTTTATAATAGGATTAATCAAATAATAAAAAAAGTATAAAATAGTTAGTAACTGGCCTGTAAGAATATAGGGGTCTTCTACAGGGCGTGCTCCAATTCAAGTTAGTAAGATAACAATAGTGAATATTGATCAAAATAAAAGTTTATTAATAGGGTAAAATTGGGTTCTTGAGAATTTTTTTTTATTAGTAAAGGGGATAATGTATAGAATAGCAATTGATATTACTAAAGCGATTACGCCTCCTAATTTATTCGGGATTGAACGAAGGATCGCATAGGCAAATAAAAAATATCACTCTGGTTGGATATGAACAGGGGTTACTAGCGGATTAGCTGGAATAAAGTTGTCTGGATCTCCTAATATATATGGTGTGTTTAATGTTAAAAATACTAAAAAAAAAGTTATAACTAGTATTCCTATAATATCTTTAAAAGTAAAATAAGGGTGGAATGGGATTTTATCAATATTACTTTTTGTTCCCAGAGGATTGTTGGACCCTGTTTGGTGCAGAAAAAGTAAGTGTATAATCACTAAAGCAGAAACGATAAAAGGGAGGAGAAAGTGAAACCTAAAAAATCGAGTTAATGTTGCATTATCAACAGCGAAGCCTCCTCAAATTCATTGAACAATAAGAGTTCCTAAATAAGGAATGGCTGAAAGTAAATTGGTAATAACTGTAGCTCCTCAAAAAGATATTTGCCCTCAGGGGAGAACGTAACCTAAGAATGCTGTTGCTATAACTATAAAAAAAATAGTAACTCCAATTATTCAAGTTTCTAATAGGTAATAAGATCTATAATAGATTCCTCGACCAATATGAATATATAAACAAATAAAAAAAAAAGATGCCCCGTTAGCGTGGAGAGTTCGGATTAATCATCCGTAATTTACATTACGACAAATATGAGCCACCCTATTAAATGCTATATCTACATTAGGGCAGTAATGTATGGCTAAGAATAATCCAGTAATAATTTGAATTATTAGGCATAATCCTAAAAGGGATCCAAAATTTCATATAGTAGTAATATTAGAGGGGGTTGGTAGATCAATTAAAGAATTATTTAAAATTTTAATTAATGGGTGAGTTTTACGTAAATTTATTTTCATTAGTATATTTGTCGTAAGGGTCCTTTGTTTATTTTAGTAATTTTGACTGTTATAATTAATGTAATTAATAAATAAATAATTATTATATATATAACTATATTATTTGGGTAATTAAAATATTTATTTAAAGTTAAATAATTATTGATGAAAAAATTTTGATTATAAAAATCTATTGTTGAGAAAGGTAGGCTAAATAAAAATTGATCTGTAACTTGAAAGACAAAATTTAAAGTTAAACTAATAAAGAATACTAATAATAATAATCTGGATAATTTGAATTTTTTATTGGAGGCGATCCTTGTTATATAGATAAATAAAATAAGTATACCTCCAATTATGATTAAAAAAATAATATAGGAAAATCAAAAATTATAATTTATTAATCCGGTTAATAAGGTTACTAAAATAGTTTGAAGTAGGAGGATAATGCCTATAGAAAGAGGGTGTTTTATAAATATAAATATAATTGTTATAGTTCTTATAAAAATAATTAATATTGATATAATTTCAAGAAATAGTTTAATTAAAATTTTAATTTTGGAGATTAAAGATAGGGGAGTACTCTTTTTCTTGATGTCTTAAAAGAAAAATCTTATTTTTGGTTTACAAGACCAAAATTTTATAATTAAATTATTAAAACTTAATGCTAATATTTATATTTATATTATTAATATTTATTTCGGGATTATCAGTTTTATTATAAAACGGGACCATTTATTGTTAATACTTTTAAGTTTAGAATTTATTGTTATTTCTTTATACTTAATTTTTGTATTTCATTTAAAAATAATAAATTATGAATTTTTTTTTTCTATAATTTTTTTAACTATGAGAGTTTGTGAGGGTGTACTAGGTTTATCTATTTTAGTATCAATTATTCGCATTCACGGAAATGATAATATTTTAACTTTTTCTTCTTTATGATAAAATTTTTATTAAGTTTAATATTTTTAGTCCCTTTTTGTTTTTTATTATAATTTTTGATTATAGTAAGGGTTATATTTAGGTATCTTTTTTATTTATAATAAAATCTAGTTTTTAATTATATTTATTTAAATATTTCTTATATTTTAGGGAGGGATTTACTTAGATATACATTAATTTTATTGAGTTTTTGAATTTGTAGGATGATACTATTGGCAAGTGGAAAAATTTATAAAAATAATAATTATTATTATTTTTAATTT